TATTCACTACCTTTTCCAATATTTTTGACAGAGTACTAAGAAGTGAAATCGGTCTATAATTAGAAGGGAGCTGCTTGTCACCAGATTTGTATATAGGACAAATCGTAGCTTCTTTAAAAATAGCAGGAAAAACACCTTGCTCTAAACTTAAGTTGCAGATAAACGCTATTGGCTCAGAGAGGATATTTATGTACTTCTTTAGGAAATATGAAGAAATAGAATCAAATCCAGGAGTGCTATTTGTTTTTAGGCCTATAATAATGCGCTTAACTTCTTCAGTATCTGTGGGCTCGAGGGACATAGACATAAGAGGTGCATTCGGTAATCTAGCCTTTATTGCCAATTCATTTTCACTCGTGTTTAGTTTTTGAAGTGTAATGTTAGCTAGGTTTCGCCCCACTGATGTGAAATACGAATTAACTTTGTCAAGAGATTTAGAGGGGGAAATATCAGCATCAAGTAATTCCTTAGGAGATTCCTTATTCGTATGTATGTTGCATACGTCTTTTATTATTTTCCATGTTTCTTTATTATTTTTAGCATTAATATGTAGTTTTTCTTCGTAATACTGCCTTTTAGAAAATTTAATTAATTTATTACACATATTACGATACTTTATATAGTTTGCGAGAAGTTCTTCATTATTCAGATGTAATTTTAGTTTTAGGTGCATCTTGTTCCTTTTACGTATGGAAATAATAATGCCATGTGTAATCCATGGTTTAAGTGGTCTAAATTTTTTAGGTAACTCTTTGATGACCGTGTTATTATTAACCACCCTAAGTAATTTTGTTAAAAACTGTTCTGCAGCAATATTTGCATCAGTTATATTAAATAGGTAATGCCACGTTTCTGCTGACAAGTAATTATTAATAGTATCATAGTTGGTATATTTTAATGTTAATCGATTATTATTACGAATAATTTTCTTAGATTTTATGCATAACAATATTGGGGCATGATCTGTTAACGGATCAAACACAAAAGTACGCCAAGTGTTAACACTTTTAATCATAAAGTGATCGATACAAGTATTTAGTCTAGTCGGAATATTAATGCCCTGCTTGAGACCATACATTGCAATTAGGTTAAGGTAATTTTGCACGTGCGTAGAACTATTCGATAGTATATTTAAATTTATGTCACCTGTCAAAATAATGTGAGGAGTATTATTATTCTTAAGAATATTTTCTAAAGAATGTAGATAACAATTTGGATTACAAAAACTAGGGGGTCTATAAGAACAGATGATTGAATATTCCGAATTTATATTTATAATCAAGCAATTTCCTTCTTGAAAGAGTGGTTCAGATACAGTTACTGATGAATTTAAAGAAGCATGAATGTAAACCACTACGCCATCATTTTTATTTAAATAATTAACGGTTTGATACATCTTGTAATCGGTAATTTGAGGTGGTGTGAAATTATTATTGGTCCAACATTCAGTTAAAACCAAGATATCAATATGAATACCAAGACTTACTACAAACGTTAGAAATAAATCAAAATTTCTATTTATACTGCGAATGTTGACGGACAGTACCATCAACAATCCATCTGCACTACCAAATAATTCTGAACACTTTGTTGGATCATTTAAATATGTGCAATTAATACTATGGTACTCATCTATATCCGTTGTTATAATATTGTTAATTTTATCTATATTAAGATTAATATTTGTAAAACCAGTGCATATACATAACTCATTATGTTAAGCTTGAATATATTTTTGATAGCAACGAGTTTTATTAACCACTTGTTATAGTGTATATAAAAATTATGATAAATTTGTGAATTGTGGATTTCATGAAAGTGATATATATTGTTAATAATGTGTTTAAGACGTATGTTGTATGAACATATATGTGATTTCATTTGTTGGAGAAGAGTGTAAGAGTATAATAAAAATATGTGTTTTGTGTATTGTAGTATGTATTTGTATATATAACTAAGTGCGCAACATTTAAATGAGAATATAGTAAGAAAAAGCTTAATAATTTCTTTAAAAACTAAAGATATCAGGATATTGAATAAACTTAACAAAAATATAAAATCTTTAAGGATGCAATATGTTAAGTGCAATATTAGTCATTTTTCTTTAATTTTTTCCAAATCAGCTTCACTTTCAATGCGAATTAGGGATGCTCCTTCTTTTTTTCGGAGGTAGACTTTGCCATGTGAAGTCCAACAAAATATATAATTGTTTACTTTTGCGAATTTTCTTGAAATTAAAAACAGATTTCTCGTTCTGCTAGGGAGAGACTCTGATATATAAATTAGATGGGACGGGCCGTCAATTTGTATGTTTTTAGTGTTAAATTTATCATTTTTATGGCTGTTATTATATTTCTTAAAAGCATCAATAAAACGGTCACGTGTTAATACACTAATGAAATCTACTATTATCGGTTTATTCGCCGATTTTGTGTTAATGCGATACACGTCTTTAATATCAGATCGGTTAATGTCTAGTTTAAGCTGTTGGCCTGATGTAATAACTATATCAGAGAGGTTTTCTTTTGTCTCATACGTTTTTTTAGGAACATTTCTTATTTCTAAACTAGTAGAACAGTGGTTCCGCTCAAGTTTTTCAACTTTTTTTTCAAGTAATTGAATATATTGCATATTAGCCTTTTTCTCCGACTCCAATTTATCGAGTTTATTAATCAAACCATCGTATTTTTCTGATAAGAAATCGATTGACTTTTGCACTGCAGAGTTTTGTTCCTTTATAACATTTAAAAATGTAGTAATTTTATCCTCTTGATCTTTTTGGAAACTCGTAAACATATCCTTAATTTCTTTTTTGAATAAATTTAATTCATCAGTGTAATCGTTACTTCGCTTTCTTTTACTACGTACCGATACAGTCGATGACGAATCGGAGTCTTGTGTAATAGGAAAATATGGCTCAGAAACATTATCGTCTTTTTTACAAGCAGCCGATTGTCGCTGTGACGGTGAGCGTTGCATATTTAAAACTTATAAAATTATGTTGTTTAGGTACCGCAATATCATAAATGTTAAAACTATCACAGACGTGATTGCTACAGAGGTCTAAAAATTTGGACGCTGATCGGTATCAGAGAACTGTGTCGCTTTCCGTCCAGTATTAACTGAACCCTCGATGCAAACAAGGTCACGTAAGTTGGACGTCACTGGGTGTTTAGCGTAAATATTAAATAATGTCCACTGTATTTTGATCACTCAATAGATAAACTTAAGCAACTCACGTATTAATGAGGGTAATCTGACTTAATTGTTACACATTGCACAATAGGTCTTCTTGTTTTTATGCACTCCTACATATTTAGTTTTATTTACTGGTTAGAATTTCAATTATTGGAAGGATCGATTTATAAACAAACACGTCTGTCCCCTACAACGGTCCGGAAGGGAAGGGAGATGGCCGATTGCCTTGAAAATTTGCATTAATTCTAAACATTTGCCTCGTATGAAGGATGACAATACAATAATTTAATAACTTTATCCTATTATCCTGATCGGGATCACCAGGATAAAATAAAATAATTCTCAGTATCATCACAGCTCAAGATCAATTCGTGTTGCTTAAGTTTTTTTTAAATTCTTATGTCATTATTTATAATATATATGTTATGTAATATTTTACCAATTTATAACTTTGTCAACATATTGATTATCCTCAATGTATGAAGATGATATATGTATAGGTACAGAAATAAAATATATATATTCTATTTGATGGCATATTTTCGTGTAAAGATGGTCGAACATCCGGCGGGAAAGTGACAATCGTCCGGTGCGATCGTGCGCGCTATTGCTTCCGGGCTAGAGAAATGGACCGTGCTTATTATTTGTATCGAATATCTATAAAATCTTTTGTCTGAATAAAATCTAAATAAAATTTAATATTATGTGCCTTAGGTGGGTGAAAGTATATACATGGTAGAGGGTAGAGGAACGCTGCAGCTTTAAATTGGTTGTAACACGAATGTGCCTTGGGGATTCTTAATCGAGGATAGTTGTAGCCGTCTATGGGAACAGCATTCAGATGCAAGTAGCAAGCAGTCGAGTACGCGCCCTTGTAGGTAGATATAGCCACGATAAAGGATTTTCTTTATAATTGAACAATAAAACAAAATCTTTATTCTAGATACCGGCTCTGTGGCGCAGTGGCTTAGCAATGAGTTGCTGCGCTGGGGGGCGCGGGTTCAAATCCCGCACGGAATAAGTATTTGTATGGCCTACAAATGATTGTCCCGGGTCTGGATGTTTGTCCTTGTGAAATTTGTGTTTGTAAACTGCCTCCACGATACAGGAGAAAATCCAAAAAAAAAAGATAGGTACCTATATACTAGGAATATCGTCAGGAAACTGCTACTAATTTGCGATTTACTTTATTTTTCTTTTTTCTTCGATAAAATAGATCTAGTGTTCTAATTCTAATCCAGATAAATCTAGATAAATCTCTCCGTTTTTGTGGGGGGGTTTTATATACATAAAACATGTTTTTCACATGGACAAAGATCCGACCCAGGATCAATTATACATAGATCATACAAGCACTTGTTCCGTGCGAGATTCGGACGTGCGATCATCATCATCATCATAATCACAGCTATTCACACATTTCATAAATAAATAAATAAATAAATTTCTGCTGAACAGAGGCCTCCCAAAAGGTATGTCCAAAGCACGGTCTTAAGCCACCTACATCTATAGGATTACTGTATATCTTACCAGATCGTCGCCATCTAGCGGGAGCCGCCCTTACTCGAGAACTTCTTTCCCATCGAATGACGGTTCTTCGAGCTATATGGATGGCCCATTGCCACTTCAACTTATAAATTGTTCGGCTATGTCGGTTATTCTGGTTCTACTTTGAGAGTCGGCCACGCGACCTAAACTTAAGGACTTAAACTTAAGACTTAGCCGTTACGTTTTGAGCCATGTAGATGCGGGATTTAGTAAATGTTAGAGACTTTTCAAAATCGTGGTTTCTTTATCCTCAGGACACCCACACTTCTTCAACCAACTCTCCTGCGGTCTCGACATCATCTCGCTAGCTGGCGAGTGGCTGACTGCCGCTGCCAACACCAATATGTTCACTTATGAGATCGCACCAGTGTTCATCCTGATGGAGAATGTGGTTCTGGAGAAGATGAGGTCGATGATCGGATGGAAGAGCGGCGACTCGATTCTTGCTCCCGGTAAGTTTTCTTTCAGAAGTTTTAATAACACTGGCATAAAATATTTAAAAAAAATGTCAATTGGACTGGCTTTTTTTTTATTATATGCCAGTGTTTCACTACTATTCCCTTGATAACACAAGGGAACAGCATTTTTGTTGCATGAAATATTATAACTAATATTATACTTGCTCGGGGTGCTGATTTCAAATCTGAAGTCAGATTGTTTGCTTCAGCTTTAGTTTTTGAGATATAATTAAAACACCTTTTTCAAGAATAATATATTTTTTATTAAGAAAACCATTAAAAAACAACAGCTCCTCAGTTGCATACCAATTATAATCGGTATGTAGCTAAGGATGGTAAAACGCACTGACTTCCATCCATTACAGTCTATAAAAGTCCACTGCTGAACATAGGCTTCTGTCATAGGTTGCATCATGGCGGGTTTTCATAAGCGGGTTGGAAACCGCAGTTTTATATTATTTAGAGTTGTTATCAAGAAGAAGCTGCTGTCCGTCTCCTGTTTCAGTTTCCTCTGTCGCCTCTTACGACACCCACGGGACGGTAGTGGATATTCTTACACCGCCACTAAACGGTGGACACTGACTTTGCTTAAACTTGGCTTGAAGACACCAACTTTTATTGAAATAAAAATATATTGCAATCTTAGATCGTAAAATATAAGGTAACAGTAAATTAACCATCTACATACGTTCTGTTATATCCAATCCTGGTTAGTTAAAAGCGCTGACTCGATTATTTCATTTAGTATAAAAGAGTAGGGTTTGAGGTAATCGAGGCAGTGCAGCTCCAACCCATATTAAATGCATATCATATTTTGTACATTTTTTAAAAGAAATCCTAGAGTTGGGTCTAAATTTTTTTTAAAAAACAGCTTTCAGAGCGGCCCTCCTAACAGTTCACTGCTGGGTACGGACCTTCCTTTTCGTCTGAAAGATTAGGGGAGAAACGGCTATGTCTATTTCTAACCCTTCTATATGTTTTCTATATTAAATATTCTTCTATATTAGATATGACTGCGTCGTTGATCTAGTGGCTGTAAACGCGGATGCTGATGGAGGTCCTGGGTTCGAATCCCGGGTCGGGCCAAATCAGTTATTGGGTTTTTCAGTCAAGAAATGATCAGTAGCAGCCCGGAGTCAGACAGTTTGCGGTTCATCCCCGTACCTCGGAAAGCAGGTAAAGCTGTGAGTTCTGCGCCTAATCTCTCTCCGGTCGTGTTGGATTACCGTCTCATCGGACAATGACAGTGAGGGAATAGAGAGTGCACCTGTGATCGCACATACACTTGGGAACTATAATCCTGTCCTGCACAGTTGGCTAGCCTCTGATGAGACTGGCTGCCGTGACCGAAACTCGGTCAGGAGGACATTATTATTATATTACATATCGGATATATCTTGAGCGATAAGTAATTGTGTATATTTGTCACCTAGGTGGATCCGTGTCGAATCTGTACGCATTCCTCGCGGCGCGTCACCACAAGTTCCCGCAGTACAAGGAGAAGGGACTATCCAGCATCCCCGGACAACTCGTCATGTTCACTTCCGACCAGGTATTTGAAAATTTTAATTAATTTCTTTTCATTTATTTAAATTTTATATGTCGTAGAGAAACCATCACCATTACAGCTTTTTTTATAGGAGAGGGGGCAAACGAGCATGCGGCTCACCTGATGGTAAGTCACTACCGAGGCCCAGGAACAACTGCAACACCAGGGAGGGAATTGCAGATGTGTTGCCGGCCTTTTAAAAAGGGGTACGCTCTTTTCTTGAAGGTCCCTAAGTCGTTTCGGTCCGGAAAAATCGCTGATGGTAATCGATTCTACAAGGAAGTCATGCGAGGAAGAAAACATCTTCTAAATCGCACAGTGGTTGTTACGGCCTACAGCTGCCCCTGCAAAGGTCGTCTTGGCTGGGGCCCATAGCAGCTTCCTCGACGGGCAGATGCAGGTCGGACCCAATGGCCATATGGAAGAATTTCCTATAATACTAAGCTATATGGGAGAAGGCTAGGGAAATATAGTACGTACCTGTTTCCGACTCTTAGATCGCCCCAAGGCTCGGTCAGGCCGTAAGTGGGTGTGAGATGCATGGCAAGTAGTGTTTAGTGATGTGTAAATGTCTGAGACCTGGACCAGCTTAGGCGACCAGCAGCGGCCTAGTTCCAGGCTGTCCCACAATGCTGCATCGCTCCAGCAGGCTCCACCGCTGGACCATTTCTTTCTTCATTGTCACTATTTCAGTCTATTAGCTTCATTGTACATTTAACTTACTTAAACTCGCCTAATTCCACATTCATCATAGAATCGAACACGTGATACCCGACATACTAAGGACAGTAGTTCAAATTCGACATTCAATGTCCCGGATTCACTTTTCACAAAATTATAAATAGGAAACTAACGCGATCTCTTAATGAGTCATACGGTTCAGCGTTAAGCACAACTAAGTTCCTTCATTCGACACCAAAATACCACGTCGCGAAAAGAATTCAAACTACGCCTCGTTGACACGTAAACTAACAAACCAACCAACAGACAAAAAAGGGCACTTAACGCGACGGCACAATTACAATGATTACCAAACAATCAACCGGGAGACGCTCTCGAACAAGGAATGCGCGGTTCGAATCCTAGACCGTATGTCTACTCGACGCGCGCGTGCACAATTCCGCATCAACCGAACAAGTTAAATATTGCAAAATTCACATATCCACGTAGTGAAGTAACACCCACTAAATAGAACTATCTGGACCCTACACGGTCGTGTGAACTTCGGCCGCGATAATCGAGATACGCGGATTCACCGCATCGCAGACAGCAAACTACTGTTTCTTCACCCACGCGTCGAGCCACCGCAAGCCGCACACGGCCGCCCCATCTGGCGGCGTTTTTTTCACTTACATACCATCGTGTGACGCGCCAGCTCGAACTCAATTGGATGGCGTTCAAAAATGACCAAATTTGGGCATAAACAGTGGTAGACCGCCAATCATCCAGATAGTGTGGATGGTATCGGGAGTTCTGCCGCGATGTGCGTTCGTGAAATTTGGCGGCTGGGATTAATCCGAACAATTGAAAGCAACTGTGTTCTGCATGTTGTTAATGCATTAAATACTGTAACTTTACACCATTAAATAAATTTTATACTATCACATTTTCATATTATATACGTTAAATGTAAAAAAAAACAATTATGAACAACTCATACGCGGTAGACCCACGCCGAAACTATGTTTTGGTTGTAGCACGAATGAGTCGGCTCGACCGGGGAAGGATCAGGTTCTCGCAGAATACCAGCGTAAAATAACAGCGTAACAGCAGAATTAATTGTTTCTTATGACAAACGTAGAGAACCGGAGACCTTTATTACTCGGCCATATATATGATTAAAATTTTTCATACTAATTATCTAGCCTACTCTTCTACCCTCCACCTATTCCTAGCTACACACTTTTGAGCTACGTCCAGCTATTATTGCGGGTTTGGTTGCAGTGCCACTACTCTGTGAAGTCGTGTGCTTCGGTAGGGGGGCTGGGTACGGACTACTGCGTGTGCGTGCCATCGGACGAGCGCGGCCGCATGCTGCCCGCCGAGCTCGAGCGTCTGGTACGATACCACAAGGATCGTGGCAACGTGAGTACATTTCTTTACCATCTTCAAGGGTCCTTATAACTCAGTTAAATATATCAAGAAGAAGTTAAATCGAATTCAAGCGGATAGCCAATGTTAAAAATTACATACGTTTTATGTTACGTCATGTTTATAGAGTGCATGAGAGAATTGACCAAATTTCTATCAAAATGTCTACTTTACTCGCATACGGGACACCTTGTTGATTGAAAGCGTGGTGTACGTGGTAGAGCCACGCTGCAACTATAGTATAGTTGTAGCACGAATGGGTCGACTCAACTGAGGAAAGACCACGCTCTCACAGAATACCAGCGTAAAGTAGCAGCTTAATGCTGCTGTGTTCCGGAGATCATTTTTACTGGGATAGAGGCATTCCATTTTGGGGACAAGGTATCTGCATTTTGATTCTTAACCGAAGAAAGATATAGATGTTTCTGGGTCTATGGGCTACAGTATTCACTTACAAACACACAAACAGGTAACTGTGCGCTCGTTTGTCACCTTCATTCTATAAAAAAAAACGTAGTCCTTCCGTCTACCTGATCACAGAAAATCGATTCAAAAATGCAGTTTTACTCGGAATTTCTCCTGTATCTTTGAAGCGATTTGAACAAGCACGCAGACCCATATCAATTACTTATAGACTATACTTAAATTCTTGTTATGAGCTCCTGGCTTGCACCTACCAAACATTTACGGCGTAGCAATGAATTACATCGCTGGGGGCCGCCGCGCTGGTTCGGATTCCGCACAGAAGAATTCAATGTGTATCTACATGTGTAAATGAATGTACATTTAGACCATACAGTGTAACAGTTTACTGTACGGAATAATCGTTTCGGATCTGGATGTCTGTCCTTGTACATTTTATGTTTGTAAACTGCCTCCACGATACAGGAGAAACTGCTAGTGTAACGTTTAAATTTCATGTTTTAAATGTAGAGATAACGTTTAAAAAAAAAAAAAAAAAAAATTGCCTTAGGTGGCACGATAGAATGTTTAAGACCAAATTGTTCACTCATAATTGGGATGTTAACAAGTCATTACTTCTTTTAACAATATATTTTCGAACAGATTCCCTTCTTCGTGAACGCAACCTCGGGCACCACGGTGTTGGGTGCTTTCGACCCGCTCATGGAGATCGCAGACATCTGCCAGAAGTACGACATGTGGATGCATGTTGACGTGAGTAAAAAAAGTATATTTTCTTTTGTTTTTGTTATAATGGCAATTTTTTATAAAAACTTGATAACCTATCATGTGTATTGACCATGTGGTTACCGCCTATCAAAAGTCCACTGCCGAAAAGAAAGAAAAAAGAACATAAGCCTCCCAAACAGATTGCCTCATAGGGGACATATTTGCCATAATTGCCACGCCTGTTTATAGTTTTTTTAGTTTTTATTAGAAAGACGCTGCTGCTCATCTGTTGGTTTTCGTTTCCTTCTGTTGTGTCTTACGGCACCCAAAGGATGGTATGTGATAGTGGATATTAGACTACCACTACGCGGTAAATATGATAGTAACATAGGGGGTAAATGCCTTAATCAATCATTCAACATATATGCATCTTACCTTAATTTATAATATTAGATACTCAATATTGATGCTCAAATATAACTTCTAAAAACACGCAAACGCCTCGTTCATATTCACACATACGCATGCGCACAAACAACACAGATACACTTTCACTCACTTACTTATAATGAAACTTTTTTGTAACTCTTGTTAATTTGATGCCTTATATCGCTGAGACAATGTAACAAGTGTGTTACTGTCCATAAGGCGGCTGGTAGCCTGGAATTCAGGTTTTTTATAAAACTTATAGTAAGTTCAGTCTCTCACAATGTTCGGTCGTTACTTGTTGTTACATTGTTGCTGTAAACTAGGAAATAAGTTATGATGGAAAAAACAAATTGAATTGGAATACGTTTTTTTTAACAATTAAATAGTTGTACGTTGCTTGAGGTCTATTTATCAACAAATTTCTTGTAAATACAAAGAAATGAACGAGCGGTTTGCTTGCAGGCTGCTTGGGGCGGTGGCTTGCTGTTCTCCAAGAAGTACCGTCATCCTCGACTCACTGGCATCGAAAGGTATCACACTAAATCTATACATTTAATGAAATAGAAAAATAAACCGATAAAATTGATAAATAATAATAAACGGACCACCGTTTTGTGACGAAGTTACTTCGGTTGGGGGCTAGGCGAGAAAAAGTGTAAGATTTTTCCATCACGAACCCTTCTGACGTATTGTAGACGGCCTTGGTGGCTATACGGAAGCGAAATGGAATAATATTCATCTCCATCTCACTTTTTCTTATCGTGTCATTAAAGAAATATTACTTTATTTTAAATAACGCTTCGTTTTAATAGATGCTACATATTCATTTATTTGTATTTGTTCATCAATAATATAATACGTTTGTCAATAATAATATACTACGAAAGGAACTTTGTTCCAACCGAGTGTTTCACAACACTCACGCATTTTTTTTATAAAATTAGGACAAGTAATTAACAGTTCACCTGATAGTAAGTGGCTACTGCAGACCATAGACACCAGCAACCATCGTCAATCGAAGCAGACTACGAATACTTTGTCACCCCTTAGGACCAAGATGGAACTCAGCACAATTTGTTAGTTCTGCCTATACTTAGCAAACCGGAACACTACAGTGATGGAGACACGCTGTTTTTGGCAGAAATAAGCAGAGGAAGCGAGCACCTAGAAAAAAAAATGACATAAATACTATTGTACAGACGTACTGTTGTTAAAACAGTACTGGCAAATATTGAAGAACGAATAAAAGTTATAATAAGATGGAATAAAATTTATATCAGTTGAAAAGTTTACCGTGTCATGGCAAAAATAAAAATTATGTCTGTAGGTTGTCATAAGGCTGCTAAAATAAAGTGAAAGCATTTCGATCACGTTCATGGCTGCATGAGCTAATATCCCTTTGCCTTCCATGAACGGTAAAATGTCACCAAAAAATTTTAAGCAAAGAAATTGCTTTAGTTATTGTTCTGAGCTCTCTTGTGGTTCTGAGACAAATACTTTAGTTCTGGTCGAATTTCAACCACAAGCAATACCTAGTAACATTATAGAACCTTTTTTAACTTTAGACAATTAGAAATTTAGAAAAAAAATTACTAAGAAAATAAATATTGTATGCGAATATTATTAATTACCTCGCCTTTAAAATCCGCGTTATGTACTAAAATACATGTAGATACGCTCAGCGAATTAATCTTCCATTCCCGCCATTAACCGCCATCAATCATGGCGGTCGTGCTAAATGCCGATGCTGTGTGAGGTGACGGGGCGGTGGGGGATCGGGGAAATCCGTTCGTAGCGCTTTGCGCGCCGACCGTAAGACAATCAGTTAGGGTTGCCAAATAATTTAATTGCATTATTAAAAATGCAAAAAAAATACTTTTTTTCTGATTTAGATAAACACTTGTACTAGTTTCACAATATTATTTTTTATATAGAATGCTGTAACCCATACACACCTACATTTATCTTTATTCAGAATCAAAATGCAGATGCGTTTTCCACCCCTGAGCACTAAGATGAAATGCCTCACATAAGAAACACAGCAGCATTAAGCTGCTATTTTACGCTGGTATTATGTGAGAGCGTACCTTAATATAGCTGCAGCGTGGCCCTACCACTTACAAATATATATTTTCAAATTATTAAGAAAGTTATTGTAAAAACCAACCGATTTTGCCTTACGGCATTATCTCAAGTATGAATTTAATATTTTTAAAGTTACAGCCTATGACGTTCTACGGATGTGCACAGTCCTCTTCTCATTTATAGGGTTACAGAGCAATTTGTCAATTAGTCGCGTTGCTCCAATACATGTTGGCAGACTTCATATTACGTCCTCAAAACATTTCATTCTTAATGCATGGAGGTTTTCTCACGATTTTTTCCTTCACATCACTGAGTACGTGATAAATCGACCCTTAAAATTGCATTTAATAAATAAGTACCGACGGGAACATAATTGGGTTGGTTGGTATACAGACAGATAGTGGATATAGAGTAATACATTTATTTGTATTTGTTAATCATTAATATAATACGTTTATCAATAATAAAGAACTTCGTTTCAACCGAGTGTTCCACGCCATTCACGCATATTTTTAGTTAGGGTGAGGACGGAGAAATAAGGTTATACGGACTAAATGCCACCCAGGTATCCTCTAAACGAACATAGAAACGAACATACGAACATACATACCAGCCGAAGTTATTCTCCTGTTAGGAGCAATCGCAGTTGGATAAAAAGACAGGCAATCGCCCCAAGATAAAATTATGATCGCGTATGTGACAACCCTACGCGTGGGATTAAAAAGCTTTCATCTCTTAGCGCCGAGCCGAGCAACCTGAAAGTTCGCACGTCACTCCACGTCACGGGAACATGACATCTACCCACATACGCAGTTCTGTGGATTTACTGTGTAGTGTATATATGCTGTCAGAAATAATATGATATCCCATACATTTTATAGACTTATATTTAAAAAATAAGAACGCAAAATAGCACATAACTGGAGATCTTTTTACTGGTAACGGGGCATTCAATCTTTTTTTTATAGGATATTGTGACAAACGAGCACACAGACCACCTGATGGTAAGTGGTTGCTGTGGCCCATATACATCTACATTTATCCTCGTTTGCGATTCAAAATGCAGATGCTTTGTCACCCGTGAGGACTGAGATGGAATGCCTCTTTTTCAGTAAAAAGGGGTCACCGGTTCTCTTCAATCACCATACGAAACACAGCAGTGTTAAACTGCTATTTTACGCTGGTATTCTGTGAGAGCGTGGTCCTTCCCCGGTCGAGCCGACCCATTCGTGCTACAACTATACTACTAATATAGCTGCAGCATGGCTTTACCACATATACCAGGATTGAATACATCTTCATTTTGATTCTTAATTACGGATAGGTGTGTTTGCTTGTCACATTTGCTTCAATAAAAAGAGGGTAATTAATTAGGGCCACCAGTTGACATTTAACAGAACCAGCTCACAACGTCCTGCATTACGTCAAGATAAGATCTGAAGTAAGCCAATTTTAATGTCAGATATGGTGACAATCATAAAAATCTATCAATTCATGTTTATGCTCAAAAACGTGCTGTCATATGGAATTCAATGACTCAACTCGATTACTTGGACAAAAACGAAGTACCAAAATGGTATCTTTATAGAGAATTTTTAAACACATAAAACCGCTTCTGCGGATGTATACCGTAAAGTATATCTGTCAATCTAAGCCACCCCTCTACAGCTTTTTATAGCTATAAACTCCAACAATCAATTAAAACTCCCTCCCTCTTAAACAAAAAAACAAAAAAACCTTCGACATAGCTTCGCTTCCAGCTTCGTCGCTCGTTTATCATTCGGGTCCTGTATAAAATAGAGTACTTATGACACGGAAGTGTAATGTGACACAATCGCGATTTAATATTACTCTATGGAGAGAATGAAAAGGCTTTCATAAATTTCCTAATTTAAATATTTATATTAACGCGGGGATATTATATTTATATATTATATTTTATATTAACCTAATATCATGTTGTGTGCACATGTTTTGGAATACCATCCAGATTGTTATTTTGCATTTATTATGTTCAATTGTTCATGTTTTGATGTTATTCTGTTTTGTGTACCTAAATAAATAAATAAATAAATAATGATCTAAACGTCATATCTCATATGAAATGGAATATAAAATAAAACAATTCTTTAAGTTATATCTCGCAACATATGACGACTCAATTACTGACTTTGAATTCTATTCTAAACAGGATTAGCCCTACATAGTTTAAAGAAATTTAATTGTCGGTAGGTGAGAGGTATAAAACGTTAGCTCCACTCTAGGATTTTCTCTTGTATCGTGGGGACAGTTTACATACATAAATTTCACAAGGACAAACATCCAGACCCGGAACAATTATTTGTAGGCCATACAAACACTTGTTCCGTGCGGAATTTGAACCCGCGGCCCTTAGCGTTGTGACTCATTGCTAAGCCACTGCGCCACGGAGCTGTCGTAGGATTCATTTTCTGCGTAGAAAGCCGCCTGGATAGGTAGCTACCAGCTACCACTCTCTCACCTATTTCTTCCGACAAGTAGTGTGTACACTGTCGTGTTATACAGGCTATGAGGGTAATGCCTCATCTTAGTCCTTACAGGTGATATCGCATCTGCAGCCTTCTTTGGTTGAAGTTAGCTCCAGGTGTCTATAAACTGTAGTAGGCACTTTATTCACTTTGTCACTTCAGTTTTAAAAAAAATTAAAAATTACAGCATATTTACGTCTCATTGTTGGGTACATCCCTTCCTTACATTTCCAAATGGCTTATGTAGCAATAAGTTTGTCGCGCTGCATCAATGCGTGTCGGCTGACGTCTTAGGTCCTCGAAGTGTTGGCTTCCTCACGATGTTTTTATTCATCGCTTAGTACGTGGTAAATAGGCACTTAAAGTTTCAACTAACCATTTTTTTATAGAACAATGGTGACAAACGAGCATACAGACGACGGTTGACGGTAGGTGTATGCTGTGGCCGATAGATATCTTCATCTATCCTTGATTAGGAATCAAAATGCAAACACGTTGTCACCTTTGAGGACTAAGTTGGAATGCCTCGTTTACAGTAAAAAGTGTCTCCGGTTCCATACAATCAGTATACGAAACGCAACAGCATTGAACTGCCATTTTACGCTGGTGTTCTGTGTGAATTTCATTGGAGTCAGCGAGGGTAAAACCCAGGTAACTCGGGTAGTGAAAAATTTGCAGCGAGCCTTTAGCCCCTCGGCTACGACGGATATTAGTAATTTTTTTTTAAGTTAATAATTAAAATACTATATTTATGACTGTGTGCTTTTGCTACATTACGGTGTGATGCACACTCCACTACAGCGACCCTTAAACAGTGTAGAGTGGGGATTAGTCTAAAACGTATGCACAACTCGGCAACTGTGTCAATAGAAGATAGCTGAGCGATTTACTTTAAAATTCACTTACACTATAAATGCCCGAGGGTGAGCTTTAAAGCGGTTACATTAGCAGAATTACATATAATAGATTTTACCTTTGTCATACTTATTTATTTTTAACAGAATTTTAAGACTGTAATTTAGCAAAGTAGAGCCCACCAAACTGCGCACTTATTATAATCTGTGCACTTGATTACGATTTCATAACATTGCATCATAGCTTATAAAAGTCCGGTGCTGAACATAGCCTCTCCCCCAACCGTGGAGCGGCGGTATAAGAATATCCTATACTCCATATCGACCCGTGGTTGTCGTAAGAGGCAACGGAGGAAAACTAAAACAGGAGATGGACAATAGCATATTCCTTATAACAACTCCATATTATAAAAAACTGTGACTTTTTGACGATTTATGGGAGAGGTCGGAAAATAATATATAAACCGTATTCTAACATCACTGTATCTGATTGAAATTTATATGAGACTACTATGGACGATTGTTTATCATCATCATCATCATTCAATCCATCAGTCTTTCACAAGTCTACTGAACGTAGGACTCCATCAAGGGATGCCACAAATCACAAACACAGTACACAGTGGTAGAACCACGCGGCAGCTTTTGCAGTCGCACGGTTGGGCCGGCTCGAACCGGGGTGGTACCACGACCTCACAGAAAACCAGCGTGAAGTAGAGGTTTACCTCTGCGTTTCGCTTGGTGAGTGCAGGTGGCCGGAGGCCCTTTTTACTGGAAATGAGGCATTTCATCTTGGTCCTCACGGGTGACAACGCATCTACATTTTGATTTGTGGATTTGTGTTGAATGGAGGATAGATGTAGATGTCTATGGGCCGCAGCAACCACTTACCATCAAGTGGACTGTGTGCTCGTTTGTCACCCTTATCCTATAAAAAAAAACCTGAGCCTCCATACATACTTTTTCCATATTTCATAAAGTTAAGTTAACCTATTCCGGTACTCTTTTAAAAAAACAGTTGTAACCAGGGCAACACAAGGACAGAGGACATAACATTTTAAATATTAAAATTTTTAATGAAACTAGTGGTAGAAATTAGAATATAGAGCAACAAGAAAAAACTTTAATCCCATTTCTGATGTTAGAAATTATCCTCAAAATTATTTAAAAAGAACACTGCAGCAATAAGGAGGGTTTGTTACCGTGGTAACGATGAGAAACCATTTTGGAAACCAATTGCCAAAAAAAGGAAAGGTTTGAGAATAATTGCACAACCTGCTCTCCTGATTACGCAACCGATCATTATCACCAACGAAATAGCGCACTTCACCATACATTCAGTATAGAGCAATACGATTCCACCAACCGTGACATGTTCTCGTCACAATCACACACCGGTGCAACGTAAAGGATCCAATTACATGATAACACCAAAGTATGCAAACCAACAGCAACACTACCCATATCAATGTAACACAGGGCAGCCCTCTCATCAATACGACCTTCCTTGCCTGCACCTACCTACCTTCATAATACCCCAACGGGCACAGTAACGACAGTGAGACTCGTAGAATTACCGCCTGATACTCGTAATTCTAGTCACCTGCGCGATACTTTATACTGCTAGAACGAGTTGGAGATTACAGTTCTCCATTACTTCGTATTTTCTTTTATTTTTTTACCTTCATTCCTAAAACTATGCGGTTTTATCGCGTATATTAACTTCTATTCTATATTTCCAACGTTTCGAGTAAGCAGCACCCGTGGTCACGGCAGCCTTTAGTTTAAAATTACAATCTTTTGGTCCGATCTACGCAGAAAGTGTTTATAGTATTTTGAATTCGTACAATGGAATACTTGGGTTGGTATTAAGAAGAAATAGAAACAGAAACAGAAATATTATTATTTTTATTATTAAAAATAAATTTTATTAATTATAGGATCCCAAACAGATGGTATCACCCAGCCACTTTCAAAATTTTCGATGTCTTTGAGTTTAATAGCCTCGTGATTAATTCTTATTGGGAATCAGTGTTCTGTTGCGAGGATATGTGTTCCATCAAATCTGATGCAATGGCGGAGGCGATCCTGTAAGTGTTCACAGACTCACGATAAAATCCGTATAAACAATTTTCATTCAATTTTTATTAGTGTTCGCGGAAATATAAGAAATCGTTGGTCTGGCCGTATTCATGGTCATTTCGTTAGCTCATTAACAAAGACAAAAAATCGATGAAAAATTTTGATAAAAATTTAATCAGGTTCTAATCAATCAATCGTTGTCAATATTATTATATGCTCTCGAGATATGCACACAGTGAATTTAATCACAAACGATGTACACATAATATGTATAAACAAAGACATTCATCAAACATAGCATCTGACTAACGGCCTAAAAACGTAGAGATAAGTCATAATTGGAAAATCAGACCCATTACAACACTTTTGCTACTGAGAAGGTAAAATGTAAGAAAACCTTAGACGTGGTAGAACCACTCTGCAGTTATTTTATGGTTGTAATACGAACGGGTCGGCTCGACGGGGAAAGGATCACGCTCTCGCAGAATACCATCGTAAAACAGCAGTTTAATGCTGCTGTAGAAAACCGGAGACCCTTTTTTTATAGGATAGGGTGACAAACGAGCACACAGTCCACCTGATGGTAAGTGGTTACTGTGGCCCATAGGCATCTACATCTATCTTCGTTTGCGGAGCGTGGTCCTTCCCCGTTCGAGCCGACCCATTCGTGCTACAACTATACTATTAATATAGCTGCAGCATGGCTCTACCACGTAAAAAACCTTTTACTGGAAACGAGACATTCCATCTTAATCCGCAGGGGTAACAACGCAACTGCATTTTGATTATAAACTGAGGATATATGTATCTATGATCCACAGAAACCACTTACCATCAAGTAGACTTTCTGCTTGTTTTTAATCCTTATTCTATAAAAAAAACCTACCTTAGATCGGGACATTTAGAGACCTTACACGAATATTACAGTACTTATTTTCTTCAGGGCCAACTCGGTGACTTGGAACCCACACAAGCTGATGGGCACGTTACTTCAATGCTCCACCGTCCACTTCAGGCATGAGGTAAGTCGTAAAATTTGGCAGATCCTAAGATGCATTAATTAAGTATATATGTTAAGACGTATTAAATAATTTAGAGTGCGATGGAAAGCTAAGCTGATCAATAAACAGAAATGGCAACGGGCCATCCATATAACTACTGACAACCGAACGGGAACTCGAATGCCAGCCTCGTATTGGCAGGCGCAGTGTTGGGCGGGCAACCCCCTAATAGATGACGCGACCAGGCTCATCACCGTACTTTGTCGCAATCAGACATATATCAACTGTGAATGATTTGTTCATTTGACCCGGGTCGCAACAAAGTATTGATGATTGCTATTACATTTTTGAACGTTCCAGGTAAACGATTAACAGAACCTATGAACAAAGAGTATAGTACCTAATGTCTGACGTCCGACATTATCGAGTGAGTCTCGCAGATCACAGAGTACTGAAACTCGAAATGATCCATTTGAAAGATCAACCCCGAATGACCCGGATCGTAAGACGAAACATGGACCCCGCTAATTATAGACCTATTTCTGTACTACCAACTCTCAGTAAAATTTTTGAAAAAATAATTTTGGATCAATTGTTAATTTTTTTTAATACAAATAAATTACTTCATAAAAATCAATTTGGTTTTACAAGGGGTCGCTCGACGTCTGACGCCGGTGTTGAGCTTATGAAATATATTTTTAATGCCTGGGAGAATTCACAAGATGCCTTAGGTATTTTCTGTGACCTTTCCAAGGCTTTCGATTGTGTTCATCATGATACATTAATCAGGAAACTACAACATTACGGTGTAAAAAATTTGGCGCTTAAACTTATTACTTCATATTTAAGTAACAGAACTCAAAAAGTCGTCATTAATGGTAAATGTTCCTCCGGATTGGTAGTATCAATGGGCGTTCCTCAGGGCTCGATTCTTGGCCCATTCCTGTTCTTAATCTATATTAATGACTTACCTTATCTTGTAGGGGACAATCACGATATAGTATTATTTGCTGACGATACCTCTTTAATTTTCAAACTGAAACGGCAGTCAATTAAATATGACGATGTAAATAATGCTCTATCGAAACTAGTACATTGGTTTAACGCCAACAATTTGCTCTTAAACGGCAATAAGACAAAATGTATTAAATTTACAATACCTAATGTAAAACATTCGAAAACCAATGTGCTCTTAAATGGGGAGGAGTTGAGTCTTGTGGATACCACTGTTTTTCTCGGTATTACTATTGACGCGAAACTTCAATGGGGCCCCCATATATCTAAATTAGCAAGCAGACTTAGTTCTGCAGCATATGCTGTAAGAAAGATTAGAAGTCTCACAGATGTTGAGACAGCTAGGTTAGTGTATTTTAGTTACTTTCATAGCGTAATGTCTTATGGAATTTTGCTATGGGGTAATGCGACTGATATTGAAGCTATATTTGTTTTGCAAAAGAGAGCCGTACGGGCGATTTATAATCTAAATTGTAAAGAGTCCCTTAGAGAAAAATTTAAAGAAATAAACATATTAACTTTGGCATCGCAATATATCTATGAAAATGTAATCTATGTACATAAAAACATAAATAGCTTTAATAAGAATAAGGATGTTCATACCTTAAACACTAGGAACAAACATAAGCTTGTAATGCCACTTACAAGACTCCACAGAATTAGTAATTCATTTATGGGGCAATGTATACGCTTTTACAACAGAATCCCAGAACATGTTCAAAGTTTGTCAATAAACAAGTTTAAAAGTTTTATTAAAGAAAAACTGTACAAAAAGGGTTATTATAATATCAAGGAATACATGAGTGAAAATAACCCCTGGGAATAAGGTGATCGCCACCATGCTGGTTCTATGAAAATTCATTTAAAATTGTATAATCAAAATTATTGTTAAGTGAAATTATGTTTAAAAAAAAAAGTCCCGCTGGGTTTCTTGCTGGTTCTTCCCAGGACAGAGGTATTTTCCGAACCAGTGGTAAATAAAATAATGACTTTCAATAAGTATTATGTAATAATCCATATTGAATAAAAATCATTCTATTCTATTCTATTCTATTCTATTAATTGAATGATCGGGTCAGTAGAAATGAATGAATAACACATGTCTAGTGGTAATCTATGGGGGAGGCCTATGTTCAGCAGTAGACTTGTGATGGGCTGTATTAGCAGTAATATTAGTTATATATAGGTACTAAAACAATACATTAAGTAAATAAATGGCGTGTGAAATATACCTATACTTATTAATGTAAGGTATATATAAGAGTATGTAGTATTTTAATTTAAAAAAAAATAGCATTTATGTCAATAATTACTAACTACGCCGTAATAACATTAATGCATTTAATCATAATTATAGAAGTCCAGTTTAGAACGTAATTTTCTTTCATATAAAGGGGTTTTGCTATATTTAAACACTTGAGAAGCATGTTAATGTTGGAATTGCATTCGCAAATATGTATTTTCGAAAAAAACATTCGTAAGATTTAGTAATTATCTATCAAACTAGTGGGATGCGAGAAGCAAAGACTGTGTAAGAACCTCCGAAGGAGGCGGAACTATAGCCGACATAATAATTTTGAATTTTTTGGTTTTTGGCCATTTTGACCCCCTAGGAGTGTAATGAAAACTTTTTGCCCCTATTCAACCATGACCCCCATGACGTCCTCTACATGATAGGCTGTTCAAACTGACTAGGCCTAAAGTTCGAGTCATCCCCCAACTCATTTCTTAACTCTTTTTTTCCAATTATTAAATAATTTTTCACCAATGAATTTACGACGTAATCAAGAAAGGGAAATATTTTGAAATAGGTAAGCATTTATCATCTCTTACAGTTAAAATTCATTCCCACAATAGGGATGCCATTAAAAACATTCCTAAAGGCTGCGAATAATGGCTTCTGCGTTACATATAAAATGATAACCTTAACGTAATGTAAATAGAAGCTAATCGTACTCTTGAAGCTATCTCAAGAGGGCAAAAACAACCCTGTCATGGACGACATAAGTTGCAAATAAAATTATTAATGCATAGAATTTTAGACTCTATGCGCTGGATACAGAGATTAGTATTATTCGCATAAAATAAGAAGGGCTCAAATTGGCAACATATGTTTGGAAGTGTCGAGAGAGGAATTTAATTAAAAGTGGCGCGTGTCAACGTCAGACGATTTTAGTGGTGTGTCTCAAAGGATATCGATGTTATAACAATTTAATAAAACTGATAAAAATTTAAATGTCTGAAAAAATATTACTACCAGTATAATTAAGCTTTTTCAATGATTATTGTAAATATAATTAAGCTCTTTATTACTTTTCGTAATCAGATTCATTATTTGATATTTGAATTACTGTGTAAAGGCGGTGTAAGAATTATCTACTACCCCTTATCTTATCGTGGGTGTCATAAAAGACGACAAAGGGAAACAAACTAGGAGATGGGTAGCATCATCTTTCTAATAACAACTAAAAAAATAAAAAACTGCGGTTGCCTAGCGTGGCAACTAAAGCAAATATTGAAAATATTTGCATTAGTTGCCACAGGCAATCTATGAGGAAGGCTATGTAACGGTAATTTAATACTTAACATATATTGTTTTCATAAATCATATAAATTCATATATTATTACTCGTGTGGCGTGAGAGAATCTATCACTCCAATTATTTCCGTGGGTGTTGTTGTCAATGTGACAATGAAAAATTCCAGAAAAATTCTAATGAGTATCGATAGACAAATATAATCATCTGGTTTACACCAGATATAAAATAATCAGACTGGAGGCAATCGGTTAAAGGTGCGAGACGTCTATTTCTGGGATCGTCAATTTGCGTGAGGATTAAGGCAATCTGTCTCTCTACAACAGGAGAGACCTTTCATTAGCTGATGATAAAGAAGAAGGGCTCATATTATTTTTAATTATAGCTGCAAGGTGTAAGAGGGATATACCAATTACTTTAGAAGCAAATCTCACTTGCACACGGTTCACGCTGCTTATTAATAAATGAAGCACTGACGTTCAACAATGGCGATATATATTTGGCGATTGATGGCGATAGGGAGTAGCATTACCGTTGCATGCATCTGTTCCGGCCTCGGCCTTTGACTTTATTTGCTGCTGGCTGAAAAGGCCTATATTAGCGGTGGGTTCATGGAGGTTGATGGGATTAGGAAAAAGAACTTAGCAATTGATCAGAAAACTGCAGAAACCGTATATCTTAATTTTAGTCCTAAATTTGTAACTTAACCTTAAAATAACCAATTTTACATATTATCATTCTATTTATCGACATTATAAACCACATCACTATCTCTAACTTCAACCAAGGGGCGGAGACTGGAAATTTATTGCTCGGCATATTGAGCTGACGTTTACAAGGTGCAGTGTTGTCAGAGTAACTTATACACTTTCGCTGTAAAATTACCTTTAATTTATAAGACACAAAGGCGGAAATGGTCTAACAATGTTAAAAAGCCAAAGTGGTCTATAATTGATATTTTAGGTCTGTAGTAATAAAATATTTTTTTTGCGGTTTTATGAATTTTAGAGGCGCGAAGAACTCTTTTTATATTAAAATTAAATAATGGATTCGCTAAACTGGAAAAAATATCATCATCATCATCATCATCATTACAGCCCTTCACAAGTCCACTGCTGAACATAGGCCTCCCCCAAAGAATGCCACAAAGCACGGTCCTGAGCCACCTGCATCCATCGACTTCCTGCATATCTTACCAGGTCGTCACTCCATCTAGTGGGGAGACGCCTTACACTTCGCCTGCCGGTATAAGGCTGCCACTCGAGAACCTTTCTTCCCCATCGGTTGTCGGTTCTTCGAGCTATATGGCCGGCCCATTGCCACTTCAGCTTACTAATCCGTTGGGCTATGTCGGTCACTCTGGTTCTACTGCGGATATCCTCATTTCTGAGTTTATCACGCAGAGAAACTCCGAGCATAGCCCTCTCCATAGCTCGCTGAGCGAGCTTGAGCCTTGAGCTTCCTCATCCA